AGTGATCTTTGAGAAGAGACTTGAATTTATAAACAGGTAGTGTTTCTTTTATATTTACAGGTAATGAATTCCAGATTTTAGGGCCTTTTATGTGCATTGAGTTTTTGCATAGCGTGAGATGGACACGAGGAATATCAAAGAGTGATCTGTGCCTTGTGTTATGGTCATGTGTTCTGTTGAGGTTGGCAAGGAGATGGTTGACACAAACTCACTCCCATTTTAGTATGCTCCTCACTTACCGACGAATTTGTTCAGTGATGTGGTCTTAGGAAAGGAACTCTGTAAATCCAATTAATCCATTCCACATCCAAAAAATATTCACAAAAAAAAAAAAATAGTTTTTTAAAGAATAAATACTATAGTTTTACATACAGAAAACAATGAGAAATAAATATAAAGTACTAATTTTAATGGATAAATGAACATTTAAATCAGTTTTACCTTTATTGAAGACTCTTGTTGGTGTATGAGAGAGGCAGGAGAGTTTGTTTGGAGGCAGAAGATAATCCTTCAAAATAATGCTAATATCAACTCTATGGCTTATTTATCTAGCACAATTCATCTAATATGACATAATAAACAATATTAGTAACATTGAAACATGATATATACTGTACTCTAGAATGAATAAAATACGTCATACGTCTCTCTCCCTAACCGATGAGTGTTGCCGTGTTGTTTGTTGTTTGGTGTATAAAGGCCACTGAAAGATAAGCCTTACATAGTGGTGGTGATGGCAGCAGCAGAGATGGCGGTGTTGTCAGTCATCCTATATAATTCCAACAACATTGGAGGAGTCAATTACGTGCTGTCCTTTTTCTGTCAATTAATCACTTAACTTACTTGCTACACTGTTAATGCTACACTTTATCGCTGGCTGGCGTTATAGCCTTTATCGACTCATGCTGCTTTAGTATCGTACACATCGTAGAATCACTGAAGAGGCACATTCTCCCATCTCTCTTCCTCCTTCACTTGGGTACTTCGCTACAATTTCTTTCTGCAATTCTATCGCGTTTCTCACTTTCTTTACCAAAAGGCTGCCACTAAGAAGTTTCTTTGGGCCCATGGTGGCTTATTTCAGTCATAATCAATAAACAAGTACTAAACACAATAAATTTATTATGAAATGTTTGGATGAGTGTGCAGGGTAATGTTCATTCAAGGATAAACAAAGCTAGAATTGGTCACGACGCCTACGCGGGCAGGCAGACAGGTCTGATATGCCGGCCGAAACATGGGGCACAGGCCGAAACTTGGGGACAAAATTTAGCCAAAAAAAGCGGTCGAAACTCGAAGAGGCAGATACTCAGGGTGGCCAAAACTCAGGGTTTCACTGTACGTACAGTGGACCCCCGGTTAACGATATTTTTTCACTCCAGAAGTATGTTCTGGTGCCAGTACTGACCGAATTTGTTCCCATAAGAAATATTGTGAAGTAGATTAGTCCATTTCAGACCCCCAAACATACACATACAAACGCACTTACATAAATACACTTACATAATTGGTCACATTCGGAGGTAATCGTTATGCGGGGGTCCACTGTATTATTATTAATATGGCGTCCTCAAGACTAATAAGACACTTTTAGCGATTTTAACCCTTTGACTGTCGCAACCCCCAATCCTGAGGTGTCTCCTGGTGTCGCAAAATTTAAAAAAAAAAAATTATTTTTTCTTATGAAATGATAGAGAATCTTTTCCCGATTGTAATGACACCAAAAAAAAAAAAAACGAAATTTGATGGAAAACTGACAGAATTACGCTCTCGCGAAGTTAGCGACCTCGGCGCTGTTTACAAATCGGCGATTTCGCCCACTTTGAGCCCTATTTTCGGCTAATTCCATTGTTCCAGTCGACCAAACTCATAGCTATTTCTTTAGAGCTCCATGTTTTCTATCGATTGAGTACAAGAAACTGCCCATTTACCGATTTCAACTACCTAATAATGTGGTCAGAAATTTGCAATTTGGCCAATTTCACGAAAACTAAAAAATATGACAATTTCAAAATAAGGTCCAGAATGAACAATGCAGACATTCCTGGCTCTAAAATAACATTTTCTTTGTTCATCAGTCATGTCTCCAGGCCCCTCTGATATTACTCTTGCTTTCTATTTTGAATTTTTATTCAAACAAAAAATTGAAGACTTACTATTATGCGGACTACTGCAATACTGTAATAATTGCATAAATAACATCAACCCATTCATGACTGCATATTAGAATGGCTAGTTGGACATTTATTGGACAATGGCATCATTTGTTTACTTTTGAACATTGGCAAAAATCAAACATTTCCCCTACTTTGAGCTCCATTTCTAGGTTCTTTTTATAGTAAAATCAATCAAAATCACCTCTATTTCTATAATATGTTTTCCTTTCTATCAAATGAGACCAAGAAAACGAGAATACAACCATAAATACTATACGAAAATAGACCACAAAGTGGGCATTTTAATTAAAAAAAACGGTCGGAGTTTTTTTTTTCCCCATTATGCACTGCATGCTCCAGGATTTTTTTTATATGGTGCACACTGACCACACAGACCCATTCTCTCACATGTGGGCCTACCAGCTTTCTCCTGCTTGATTTGAAGCCGCTAGAATTTATGAGTACGTATATATACGTCAAACACGGTACCTCGTAAGACGTATATATACGGCTGCGACAGTCAAAGGGTTAATGTGTACCTGCATGCCAGCACACTAAGCTTATTTAGGTACAGGTACACTTGAAATTTTGGAAAGTTTCCAGACATAATGGAGAGAGACGGTGATTACGAAGCTCACGGGAAATGTAAACAAACCGGGTGGATCATGGTGACCATATTAGAAAGTCAGGTGAGGGAGCCATATAGAGAGTTTTGATCAAAATTTGAAATGTCTGTATTAGCAGAACGTCATGAAGTGAAACACTGTAAAGCAGGGCCCTACTGTATAGTACACACTTCTCTCGTGCCAAGATATGCACTATCCTGTTTGCTGAAAATATTCTTTCTTATTTGAAGATAAATATGAGAGGAAAGGCAACTTCAACAGAGACGAAACACTTAAACTATGTTGGGTTTTGAAGGAGGATGGGAAAATCAGTTAATGAAAGAGTGGGGAGGGCACAAGTTTGTAAGTGTTAGTGACTCAAGCATTCAGTAGGCATGTGGGAGTGGAGTGGAGGCATGTCAGAGTGAGTGGAAACAAGCTGACTTATGGATCTGATGTGCAAGCAAGGTAACAACTTACGAAAGTGTTCAGGAAAATCAGCTAGTGCAACTCGAGTTCTGGAGGTGGGAGGTACAGTGCCAGCACTCTGAAGGATGTTCTAGCTAGTTACAGCTCAAAGGGTCATTTAGAATGTGATGTCAGAGCATTTCTGGCAAGATGACTACCAGATGAATAATAGTGAATGTGTTTTTCCTTCCTTCAATCACCCTTCCTTTGTAGAAAGGGCCAATGTGGTAAAAAAAAAAAAAATATTGAAGATCCTGGAAAAGGTGCAATGTTGCAAAGGAATTCAAGGAAACTATGGAAAGGCATGAGAACATAGGATAAACATAAAGCAGCCTTACTTTTAAAGATGAGCCAATGCCTGCCTATAAACAGGGCCCACCTCGAACACCTATACCAAATCTCTCATTCGACAGCTGAAATGGAAACCGACAGAACTACTGTGGAGTGAGTTGCAGTTATGTAGCAATAACTGCTAACCACTAGAAATAATAATGGTAGGAGAGAACAGCAATAAAATATAATTTTGAACATGTTGCTCAGCTAGCAGTAGAGGCTACATAGAGATCAAAGGTCCCCTCTTTGGAGATATGAAGGCATGAAAGCTTTAAGTTGCTACAAATATTTCCTGCACAGTCCTCAAAAGATTGTGTGAAAAAAGAACCCTACACAAACATGAAAACAATCAAGTATAGTGTCAAGACAGCAACAGATGTGCCAGTCACTGCAAAATGAACTGAATCGCATGCATATATGGAAAGTGATCCTTTGACTTACCAGTGACAGAAGTGTGATAGCAGGTTTCGTATCAAATACCATGAGAGAGAGAGAAGAGAGAGAGAGAGAGAGAGAGAGAGAGAGAGAGAGAGGAGAGAGATTGTTTAAAAAATACTAAATGTGAACTCTGATTTGTTGGGGTGAAAATTTGGTGTCTGAGAACCTCTGTATGAAGTTCCTACCATCACAAAAACTTTATAAGAATACTGTGTCAAAAAGATTAAAACAAAGGGGAGAGCCAGGAAATTCAGAAAATCACTGTTTCTACCCTGTATCAGTAGGACCACCCTAGTTTATATGCTATGATACCTGCTTAATGCTTGCCAAAGACCCTGCACTCTGCCAGCAGGCAGAGTGCAGTGCCACCCAAACATACAATTCAAGGAAAAGTCTGTGAACCAAAAATAAGTTCACTGTGGGTTTGGGTAGCAAATATATGAGCAAATCCAAACCCGCCTGCAAGCTGCATTGGAGACTGTTTTACTAGCAAAATTAATTCGTTCACTCATAAAAGGCTTGCTCTACCAGTCATGGTCAACTTCGGTAGAAAAAGTATAACAGGCCTCTATGCAAGGAAAAATAATAGGGATAGTGCTTGAAATCTTTAAAGAGCCACCTTTAGGGAAAAATGTGGCTACTGTCTACAATAAGTCTTGTCCTAGTGTAGCATTTTGATTGTTAAGGGAGAAAAGCTAGCATATGAGAGGTTTTTACAGAACAGAAGTGACAAGGAGAGTGGAGTATATGGAGAGCAAAAGAGAGGTTAAGAGAGTGATAAAGGGGTGTAAAAGGAGACCAAATACGATGATCTGGGTGAGATTTGTTGTCAAAAATTATTGCGAGATAGATCCTTTGTTTTCTCTTGCCATATATTCAACTACAATATTTATTACTATATACAAACACTAATTGTGCAATACTATACTGCATTAATTTTTTTATTGAACACTATTACCTTTCATAAAAGTAACTTAAAAAATAAAAACACACCACTTACCTCGTCCTCTGTAACCCCCTCCATTTCTGTAGCTGTTGCTTTCTCTCTTTCCTCTTGTAAAACCATAACCTTCTCTATTTCTGTCTCTTGAAAATCCTTCCTCTCTCTGTTGTTCAAAAAACTTATTGTGGCCCCATCTTCCATCTGGTGTTGGTTGGGTGAATGAGCGATCTCTCTTTCTCTGATACCCCCCACACCAACCCCGGCTCGTTCATCTGAGAAGAATTTGACCATGCCTTCTCTTTGGACCATTCTAAAGCTAGATGGATTTTGTGATTTGTGATCTCTTCTTGTTATGTTCTCTTTCATATGATCTTGAGCGGTCTTTGTAATGTCTGCTATGAAATTCTTATTAGTTGTTTCTGCTGTGTTTGGAGTCCTTGCCCTCTTTTTAATCACGATCTCTCCGTCAGCTGAACTTTCTCCTTTTGATTGTATATGATCGTTAAATTCTATGTTCTAGTTTTTGAATACGAGCCTGATCTAGAGGTGATCGTGAAACTGTGGACCCCACAGACCTACTTTTCTTCCTTTGTTTTGGGAGTCTGCATTATACATTTCTTTCATGTGATCTGCGTTTTTTCTCATGAGTCTTGATCTACGATTTCTATCACGAGATTTAGACCTATGATTCCTGTCATGTGATTTTGACCTATGACTTCTGTATTATGCGATTTGGAACTGATAAATTCTATCCCTTGATTCTTGATCTGCAAGCCCTGTCCCGTGCGCCAATCTGTTTTCCTTGGATCAGATTTTCGTGCATTTTGTCTTGGCGTTCTTGTCGAGTGAATACTCCTGATGTTTAGGACTGTGATCTTGGATCTACACTTTTCTATGTTTTATAGGACTTTTTTTCCCACCAGTTGAGGAGTGTGATTCTTAATTTACTAAGCGGTTTTTTTCTTGCTGTGTACAGCAATGCGTGATTTTCGTTTAAGGCTTGAATCGTCGCTGTCATCACGTGTCACTATGGCTATGACCATTTTGCCTTGTAATAAGAAATTTTTGGAAAAGTAATTCAAAATACAGGATGAGAAATTCACCTAAATTTTTTAGTCAACATAAAAAATCTCAGAGTAAAGGAATTCCATATTAGTAGTGTTGTTACGTACATAAATTATTATTTCAAACAAGAATTTTTAACAAATGATACGTACCAGCCTCAACACCACTCGTTAATTAATGTTGAGTTAGGGGCTCGCAACTTTTAGGTTAACGTTGTCGAATATTAAATGGATATGTAATAGTTGGCAGTTATGCTTTGAATCTATGAAGGGAGTTTTTTTGGAAACTAAAAAAACAACATAAACATCACTTTACCTAACAGGTTAATTGGTTGCTATTTATGTTTCAACAACACTTTACATAGCAGATAAAGTGGTGTCGAGCTGGGTAAAGGGGTTGCTGAGACTGGTAAAGTGGTACTGCAGGGCTACTAAAGTGAGCTTGAGGCTACTAAAGTGATGCTGAGAGGTTTACCAAAGTGCGGTGCTGAGGCTACTAAAGGATGCTGAGCTACTAAAGTGATGCTGAGGTACCAAAGTGTGCTGAGGCTACCAAGTAGGTGATAGAGGCGCTACTTAAGTGATGCTGAGGCTAACCAAAGTGGTGAGTTGATGAGGTCTACTTTAAGTGATTGTGAGGTACCAAAGTGGTGGCTGAAGCAGTGGTTGCTGGAGGCTACTACAGTGGTGATGAGGCCTTGGGTTGTACTAGGTCAACCTACATAATGCACTTTTCATGTGCCCCCGTAACATTTCTATGTGCCCTCAAGGACCATCGTTTGAAAAACAAAAATGGTTCAACGTCACGTACCCAGTAATGCCTAAAGCTAAACGTACTTACCGTGAGGCCTGGGCGTGGGCTCAGACCTGAGGCTGGGCTCAACACACCACCGCATCTGGTGGTCCTGGGTCAAGGACAGACAAGGTTATCTGCCTGTTGAACTTATTCCACCTCTACAATCGACAGGATGGGAACCATTACTAGTGGCAAGAGATAAGAGCGGAACCTCTTTGCTGAACACTTTGCTACCAAAAGGCAAGTTCCTGATCCAGCAAGGGACTCCCTCCTTGGCTAGCTGCAAGACCTGTGTCAAATCTGTCAGATGGTGTCAATAAGGCAGGGAGGAGTGCAGTTCCTTCTTAAATCACTTGACCAAGAAAAAGGCTGTGGGCCCAGGACAAGTTGAGCCCACGATTGTTGAGAAGATGTGCAGACCAGCTAGCAGCTCCTCTAACTCGCATCTTTGCAGCACTGCCTAGTTCAGTGTAAATGGCCCTCTCTATGGTAAAGTGGCAAATGTAGTTCCCTGTTAACAAAAAGAAGAGCAGAGCAGATAATCAGCAACAACAGGACGCCAGTGTCACTCCTGTCAATCAATTGTTAAGATCCTTAAGACAATAATTCAAGACAATGACAGAGATTTTTTTGACTACCACTCACTACTTTGTGATCGTCAATATAGCTTCAGGAAAAGGTTACTCTGACTGCCTGATCTTGTTGTTAAACCTCTCCACTAAGTGGCACCAGTCACTGGATGAATCCAAAGTCAGCTGTGTGGTAGCACTGGACATTGCTGGCCACTTCTCGATCCGGGTGTGGCACCGGGCCTCTTAGCAAAAATTCATGCACGGGAATTGCAGGCTTCTAAGCTATGTCTCACTCAGTGATTACCTTCATGGGGGGGTTTTAAGATCTCTAAGAGTAGTCTCAATGAGTACGGAATCAGCAAGGCAGATCCTATTGGGGCAAGCATTCCAAAGGAAGCGTGCTGGGTCCTTGTTATGGAATTGTCTACTTCAACGACCTTCTCATTCATCCAGATCACATGCATATGCAAGAAGGACTGTACACTGACATTTCACTTTACAAGGAGAAACTGCAGCTGTTACTCTAAGTACATCAATCACCAGCTGAGAGCTATATCTCAGCTTGAGGGGGAAATAGATGGCAAGTAACATTTGCACCTGAGAAAAACGGCAAATGATGATCGTATCTAGGCACCATGATGAGTAATGCTGGCGCATGAGAGTATAACGATGAATGGGGAGGATGTTGGCACATGTAGAAGAAGTTGATACTTGGGGTGAAATTTGACTCCAAATAAACCATTGAAGAACATGTTGTAAATCTTGCAAAAAGGGCAGCCAGGAAGCTTACAGCACTTCGCCGTATCTCGATCTGCTGGACAGTAGGGGTTTGCAAGATCCGGTACGAGGCAAAGTACGCTCACACTTAGTATGCTCCTCCTTTCTTGTGTTTGCCTGCCCCCCCTTCTCATCTGCGACTGCTTGACAGAGTAGAGGAAACAGAGCAAGACGTCTATCTCTCGCCTGGACCCATCCGGATACGATCTGTCATTAGTCAGCAGAGCCTTCAACATTGGAGGGATGTGGGTGGGACCTACTGTTATGTACAAGGCCAATATTGTCAAAATACCACACTTGGGAAATTTTTTTTTTTCCTCTTCGAGGGACGCATTGAAACATGCTTTTATGCCACAAGACGGGAAGAAAGCAGCAAACTTTCACACTGGTCTTGTACCCTTCTCCAGAACATCATCCATCTGAGTTCAACATAACCAGGTGTACTCGATATGGATCACATCTCGTACAGCATAATTATGTCAACAAGATTAAGTCAGTTGATAAAATTGAAAATGCTGAGCCCACAGGTGGCTCCAAGACTTCATCCTGTTCCCACTTGTATGTCTCATAACAATAAAATGCTTCAAATGTTGTGATGTAGTAACAGCTTCTTAGCTTGCCAATAAAGTTAGGAATCCTTACCTGTAATATAGCTGTCAATAAAGTAGGGATCCTTAACCTTGTCAAAACCCTTGTGTAAAAAAAAAAAAGACAGAGAGAGAGACGAGAGAGAGAGATGGGAGGAGAGAGAGAGAGAGATGAGAGAGGAGACAGAGGAGAGAGAGAGACAGACAGACAGAGAGAGACAGACAGAGAGAGACAGAGGACAGAGAGAGATGAGAGAGCAGAGACAGAGAGAGAGACGTAGTGAGAGAGAGTGATAGAAGAGAGAGAGAGGATGGGAGACAGCGAGAGAGAGAGAGAGACAGAAGAGAGGAGAGAGAGGAGAGAATGAGAGAGAGAGCGACAGACAGTAGTGAGAGAGAGACAGAGAGGAGAGGAGAGAGAGAGACAGAGAGAGAGAAGAGAGACAGAGAGAGAGTAGAGAGAGAGACAGAGAGAGAGGAGAGAGAGATGGAGAGAGAGAGAGAGAGGAGTAGAGAGCGAGGAGAGTACAGGACAGAGACAGAGAGAGAGGACGAGAGCCCCCCCCCCCCCCCCCCCCCCGAGAGAGACGGAGAGATGGAGAGAGTAGAGACAGAGAGACGAGAGACAGAGAGAGAGAGAGAGAGAGAGAGAGGACATGAGAGAGGATGGAGGGAGAGAGAGGAGACAGAGAGAGAGAGAGACAGAGAGAGAGAGAGATGAAGACAGACAGAGAAGAGAGACAGAGGAGGACAAAGGAGAGCGAGAGAGGAGAGGGACAGAGGAAGAGAGGAGAGAGACAGAGAAGAGAGAGGAGAGAGACAGAGAGAGGAGAGGAGAATGAGACGAGAGAGGAGAGAGAGAGAGAGAAAGAGTATGAGAGCGACAAGACGAGGAGAGAGGAGACGAGACAGAGAGAGAGAGACAGGAGAGAGAGAGATGATGAGAGAGACGAGGAGAGCAGAGAGAGAGAGGAGAGAGAGAGAGGACAGAGAGAGATGAGAGATGAGAGAGAGAGATGACTAGAGAGAGAGAGAGAGACAATGAGGGGAGACGAGAGAAGAGATGAGAGACGAGGAGAGGAGACAGAGAGAGAGAGACAGAGATGGAAGAGAGAGAGAAGAGAGGAGGACAGAGGAGTGAGAAGATAGGAGACAAGAGAGAGAGAGGACAGAGAGAGAGAGAGGACAGAAGAGAGAGACAGAGGGAGGAGAGAGGACAGAAAGAGAGAGAGAGGGAAGAGTAGAGAACAGAGAAGAGAGAGAGACAGAGAGAGAGGAGAGACAGAGGAGAGAGAGACAGAGAGAGAGAGAGACAGAGGTGAGAGACAGAGGCCCCACGAGTTCGAGCACCCAACGACCCCCCAGCATGCGCCGACAGAGAGAGAGAGACAGCCCCCCCCAGAAAGATGGAGAGAGAGAGAGAAGTGAGAGAAGAGGACAGAGAGAGAGAGAGACAGAGGAGAGAGAGAGATGAGCAGAGAGAGACGACAGAGGAGAGAGACAGAGAGAGAGACAGGAGAGTCGAGAGAGAGAGAGAGATGGATGAAGAGAGAGAGAGAGAGAGACGAGATGATGAGATGAAGAGAGAGAGAGGAGAGAGAGAGGAGACTGAGAGAGAGAGAGAGAGACAGTAGAGAAGGAGAGAGAGCGGAGACTGAGAAGAGAGGGACAGAGAGAGAGAAGAGAGGAGAGAGACAGAGAGAGGGAGGAGAGAGTAGACAGGAGATGAGATTGAGAGGACAGAGAGAGAGAGAGGAGAGAGAGAGAGGACAGAGCGAGAGAAGACAGTAGAGAGAGAAGAGAGAGAGAGACACCACAGAGAGAGAGAGAGAGAAAAGACAGAAGAGAGAGAGGACAGAGACAGAGAGACCGGAGAGAGACAGTCAGAGACCAGAGAGAGACAGGCCAGAGTCAGAGAGAGACAGACAGAGACAGAGCAGAGAGAGACAGACAGTGACAGGACAGAGACAGGGGACAGAGACAGCAAACAGAGACAGAGACAGACAGAGACAGAGAGAGAGAGACAGAGAGAGAGAGACAGAGAGAGAGACAGAGACAGAGAGAGAGACAGAGACAGAGAGAGACAGAGAGAGAGAGACAGAGAGAGAGAGACAGAGAGTCCATTTCATAGAGATAGAATAATAGTTGTGGCCCAGCAAGACTACAATTGGAGAATGAGAGACATGGGTAGAGAGGCAGTAAACAAATTAAACCAAAAGAGGGTCAGTAAGAAATGTAGGGCCAATA